CCGCCGCCGCCGTCGTCGTCGTCGTCGTCGTCGTCGTCGTCGTCGTCGTCGTCGTCGTCGTCGTCGTCGTCGTCGTCGTCGTCGTCGTCGTCGTCGTCGTCGTCGTCGTCGTCGTCGTCGTCGTCGTCGTCGTCGTCGTCGTCGTCCTCGTCGTCGTCGTCGTCGTCGTCGTCCTCGTCCTCGTCCTCGTCCTCGTCGTCGTCGTCGTCGTCGTCGTCGTCGTCGTCGCCGCCGCGTCTGCCCAGCCCGCTGGAGCCCCCCGCCCGCGGCAGGACGTCTCCCAGCTCCCACGCCCCGCGTCACCTGCGCGCTGCCAGGAGCGGGCGGCAGGGCGAGAGCAAGTGGTGGAGCAAGGGGGGGGGGCGCGGGCAGGGAGGGAGGGAGGGAAGGAGGGAGGCCGCCTGCGCGCCGACGTGGAGGCGGAGGTGTCCCGCCACGCCGCCCAGGTGACGCCAGCAGCGCTGGGGGGGGGCATGTCGCTCCGGGCGCTGGGGTTGGCCACGGGCGCTCAGAAGTCAGGAAGGGAAAAAACACACAGACACAGTTAATCGTCGACTCCCAGAAAATATGGGAAAATTTGGAAGTGGAGGGAAGACAGAAACCTTGAAACTATGGGAAAATATATTGATTTGTGTGTATTTATTTGTGTGTCCTGGGGCCCCTTCAAGAAGTGGTGGAGGCGGTCAGCGGCTGAGTGGCGCAGGGCCAGGGGGGTAGACTGAAAGGAGGAACGGATTTGGACAGCTCGCGAGGGAAGGAGGAAGGGTGGGCGGGTGTGGGGAGGGGGGGGGGGGGGCGAGGTTCGAGGCTCGAAGCATGGGGTGTTTGCTTCGATTTGCAAAGATGGGCGACACAAATCAATTTCAGCCAGCGTTGACTCCAAATAGATAGGAGGACAGGAGGAAGACGAGAGGAGGATGGGAGGATGACGAAAGGAAGACGGGAGCAGGACGGCAGGAGCAAAATCAAGCAAGCGCAAGCAAGCAAGCGGAAGCAAGCAAACGCAAGCGAGCAATAACAAGCAAGCTAGAGCCAGCGATCAAGTGCAAGCAAGCAAGGGCAAGCAAGAGCAAGCAAGCGAGAGCAAGCACGCAAGAGCAAGCAAGCAAGTGCAACTGAGTGTGTGATGCTGATGAGGAGGAATCCATAGGAATCCAAAGGATTCGCCCTTGGAAATAGCAGGAGGGTGCCATTGGAAATCAGGGGGGGTGCCATGGGCAAAAGATGGGGGAAGGGGGAGGGGGCATTGGAAAGAAGGGGGGGGGCCATTGAAAAGGGGGGGGTCCTAAAGACCAATTACTTATGATGAGCTAGGACTCGCATAGGGCAGGCCTATTTGGAGAATAGGGTCGCTTGCGCCGACATTGGCGCGTAAGCTGCCCGCGTAAGATCACGGGTAAGCGCCCTCGATTCCAATAAAGCGTGCCGCGCCGGCGGCCAGCGCAAGCCGCCGCGCAAGGTCGCTACGTCATCTCGGGTAAGATACCCTTTTTGATCGTCGTTCAGATGGGATTGTGTAGAAATCTGCCCACTCGTGCCCGACCCCGCCAAGAGGTCCACAGCCCGTACCCCCGAGACAATCGCAAGGAGGCTTGGGCCCGTGCCTCCCAAGCCCTCCTGCAGGACCAGGGCAGGCCTGGCAGCGGCGGTTCCCCTGCCAAGAAGGCGGGCCGCGCCACGGCCGCCGCCGCCGCCCAGCGGCCAGAGCGTTGGCGCCGCCTCGCGAGAGGGGAACGCCGAGCAGAGCAAGGAGAGGACGTGGAGGAAGTGAGGAGGAGAGGGAGAAGGTGAGGAAAGGAGGGGAAGGAAGTGAGGAGGAGGAAGTGAGGAGGAGGAGGAGGAGGAGAGGAAGAGGAGGGGGAGCGGATAGGGTGGGGGAGCGGAGGAGGGGGAGCGGAGAGGGAAGAGGAGCCGTCCTCCAATCCTCCTTGTCATTATGCTTGTCTTTTTTTAGACCAGGCGCTTGCGGAGGTGGAGCCGTCTCGGCACGTTGTGCTTGGCCGATTGCCGACCTTGATCTCATGGTCGTGGCTGCGCGTCTCCATTCACCAGTCATTGCTGCGCCTGCTGGGCAATGGTGCAATTGTGCTAAGTTTGTGGTCGCGTCGGCGGCGCATCCGGAGTTGCGGCGTTAAGTTGTAGGGTGGACGTGCCATGAACATCTGCCCGAGCCGCCAGATTTTCAGCAGAGAGGTGCTGTTGTGATTGGCGGAACAAACTCATACATGTATCATTGCAGATCGTGGGCGCAAACACTTTAGCGGCCACTCGGCTGCCAAGTTCGTCGTCCGTGGCCGCACTGCCGCTTCTGCAGCCAGTGTTCCTCCTGGAACCCAGGGTGATCGCCCTGACGATGGTAATGACCCTGATGTTGACAATTGTGTTGGTGGAGGTTGGCGCCGTGGTAGATTCCCTGACATCCGCCGGTCTGATTTTTTCCATCTGCGGACCTAAAGCACCCGACCCCTTCCCTGGGGCCAGTTTTTCGCCCCTGCCCCAAGACGGGCAGCGCGATGGCCGTTCGGATGCTCATGTGGACCTCAATGTGGTTTCTCATTATGTGGGTGATCTCGACGGACGTGATTGCTCGTCTGCAGCGCTGGCGGTCGCAAGCGTGTCTGCGAGCTGGTGGGGAGTGCCGAGCTAGGGGCACATAATGACGGGTGGCAGAGAAGAGGGAGGGGGCATTGGGCGGAGGTTTCACCAGGCCGTCGGGGCACGCTGGGGAGG